TGGATGAACCTCCCCAGCCGTTGCTAAGCTGTGCAAATGGACAAACGAGCAGTGCAGAGCAAAAAGAAATCCGAGCTTCTGACTGATAGAAGCGAGAGATGAATGTTGCCTGCGGGCTCAAAGCCTTCCCGCCTCGGCCCACCCGCTTCAAGCCCTGGGTGTCTTTTTCTGCACTTCGGCCAGCTTTCATGGATATCCGAAAGTCTGGCTTGGGCTGGATGAACCTCCCCAGCCGTTGTTAAGCTGTGCAAATGGACAAACGAGCAGTGCAGAGCAAAAAGAAATCCGAGCTTCTAATTTGCGATCCTGTCGTGCTGAGGCCACAGATCCAGCTACGGGCTTCGCGGATCTTCGGGATCCACATGTGCTGCTGGATGTCAAGGGCCATTTGCAGCTGGAACCCCTTTCCCGCCGACTCCTTCGGTCCGTGTCGATCGAGTTTCCGGGCCACCTGCACTGGATGCCTCCTGCCCTGGAACGCCTCGAGAAAGAGCCCGAGAACGTTGATATCTCTATGCTGCCTGAGGCGCGAACCAGTCCGCTGAGCACATGTAGCTTGCAGTTGCAGCTTTCTGCCGGTCTTGGCAGGTCATCGGACTGCGGACCATCCGGGGATCCGTCGACCACATCGTGGAGTGCCAGTATGAGCAGAGCTGTACCTGCACCCTCGACGCCGTGAGAAGCCTGACAGGGCAGTCCCCGATGTTCTGGGCCGAGCTTTTCCTGCTGACTTTGGTGCTCTCCTCAGCCTGAGTGTTCCGTTCTTCTAGAGTGGAAGGGAGATATGGTTTCTGTATTTTGGAGAAGAAAGAGAGCAAATGAGTCAGAGACTGGTACTTACCAAGCCCACATTCCATCTAGAACACATGTGTCGCGCATGTTGCCGTGAGAAGTTTCGATGGCGAATGGCCGGAGGTTCTCTATTACGTGGACATCGTGCTGGACCTGAAACAACTGTGCTTGTTCTGGCAAAACAAACTTTTCGGCTACTTCTTCCTCAACGTCGCCGGCATGGCGCTACCGCCAGTTTTCACAACATTGGAGGCGGTGGATTTCCTCGATCGGCGATCGCCAGAAGAAGACCAGCTGAAGACGCTCCTTACACCCAAGATGCTGGTGCCAGCCATGCTCCTGTCCATCTGCACCCAAACGCATATGATCCTCCTCGTCGCAGCCTCTGCCCTGTCACGACGGACTCCTGGGCTGAAACGGAACCCTTAAGTGATTCTTGCAGGCATCTGCGGTTCCAGACGCTTAAAGCCCGTCCCCGCTTGCCTCAGGCGCCATCCGCTGCTTGCAGGAGCCAAGCATGCAGAGGCAGGGCCCCTTGCAGTCGGGTTGACTCGGAGAGTTTGCGGCTAAATGTTCGGAGTTCTGCACAGGTGGCGGAATCGGCGGTGTCTGCCCTGGTACAGACCAACTTCCTAGTCTCGGCGCTGGGTGGCATCGCACAGATCGAGGCCCTGGAGCTGCCCGACGACCAGCTCGACAGCATGAAGATTTCAGTCCTCGTCTCTTGCTTCAGTCTGGGCCTGGGCTTCGCCAGCCGAGACAAGGCCGACTCGGCGGTTCTGGACCTGCCAGGGAAAGTCGGCTGGGGGCCAACCATGGGCGGCCTCGTCCTGGCGAGGTCACTGGAAGTCTTCAGCCGCATTCTGGCACTCAACGTTCTCCAAGCGTCCCTACGGGGCTTGCCGCTGCTGCGATTCGCCGGGGTCGGAGCAGTGGCACTCGCTTTCCTCGCGGCTTGCCTGGCCTTCCCGGACGCCTCCTGGGCCGACGCCGCGGCCCCTCGGCTCGGCCCGGCAGCTGCAAGCGCAGCTGCAAGCTCCTTTTTAGAGAACTCAACAAATCACGTTCTTGGCGCAAGTCTTGCTCCAAGCGAGGCCGCGGTGATCGCCCACCC